TGACCTCCTTGGTCCGATACAGATCTAATTCGCGGCGCCATTAGGCGGAAGTGGAAGGCTCAAAACAAGCCTCCCGCGACGGTCGTCGAACCGTTTTATTGACACTCGATAGCGGTCGTGGTCGAAGCCGACGAAATGGTTTTCCGTCGCGATGCCAGATTATCTCGCGATCGATGTGATTTTTCAACGAGTGTTCCACGAGCGTGGTGTTTGAAGAGCAAAGATTGCGCGATATCCGCTCGTTTCCTTCGGAATCTACTTGCTCCTTGTTTACCTTACGTCAAACCTCTCGGTTTATATTTGTACGGCAACAAACAACGCGGTTTCCAGTCAACAATTTATTCAGCAACGTGCTTCTACTCGCGGATAAATAAATACGAGAGTATAAACAGATAATTGCGAAATTACGAAATGTCTCTGACTGCTGAGGCGGCCAGGAGGTCAGCTTCCAGGTCGCGGCTTTTCTTTTCTCGTCGAAACAGGTTAATATCGGTTACAAATAAACGAAAATGCGATAGGAGATTGGCCGGGTTAAATGTCTCCGAGATACTAAACGTGTCACGTTTTTTTCCACGAGCTTTGGCAATAAATTCCTATTGTTACTTTCGCCATTATCGTCAGGTTCCTGTGCGCGCTCGCGAGCGCTCGGTCAGCGACCGGGATCAAGAGGACGCAGCGCCATTGCGATCCGCGTGGATCACGAGCACGCGAATCTCCATTTCGTCACAGTTCACCATTATATTCCAAATATTCCACGCTCGGGTCCTTTTTTCTCCGCCTCTCACGGCACCGTCTCCATCTTATCGGCCGATAAAATTTTTTCGGTAGCCGATAACAGTCGCGACAAATAAGTGGTCCTCGAATCGACGATCATCGATCGGGCAATTCGCGTGCTCGTTTCGGAATTTCCATTTTACACGTCGCGTTCGATGACGAGCAGACAGCTTTTTGGCGCGAGATACGAAAACGATACTGGTCGTTTCGAGGATTGACTCAGCGTCTTTGTCTCCTCGAGTGGCCCGATAATTTCGATAATTGTCACTAAAGATGGATTATCTACGAACCGAATTTCGTATCGGGGCATTCTTCTCGAGTAGACTCGAGAGTTAGTGGAAAGAAACGATCGGCAGGTGCTCGTTAATCGGAAAACATTCGTCACGCCTAGGGGTACACAAAGATGGAGCACGCTTCTGAGATAGGAGATCGATCGGTATCGGGAATGCTCGATATCGTTACACGAAACTGCTATACCCTGTGTTGTACACAGTATCGGCGTTATTACAGCGGAGAGATACGACGAATGTTTGAATGAGAAATCGAAGGGGGAAAAAGGAAGAAATCGTACGGCACATTTTTCTCGGGTACCGTCTGCTGTACCATTTGCGATGCTCGTCTCGTAAGCAACTATTATCGTAGTCGTATCGATGTTATTTCTCGGTCTAAGCAATTATCGCGCAATTAAGCCATCGCCGTCCGAGAAGTGATCAAGAGAGAAAATGGATTACGTAATGTTTTCGAAGCATAGGCATTCCGAATGTTTATCTCGTAAACAGGCAGGAGTAATGTCAATATTATTCACGAGTACACGCCCATCTAACCGTGCGTGCATCGTTTTATTTTTGAAAACCATTTCAAGAACGCCTAAGCCGAGAACGTAACGTCGTCTACTTAGAGTGAGGGAATTACTATAGTAGGGGAAGCGCCCAATTCCGACAGTCGCGCGTCGGCACTCGTACGAGGAGGACGTGGTCGCGGTTATGGCAAATCTTCCGATTTACGTTCATTTCCAATATTATTCAAAACGAATAATTCGGAAATATAATAAATAACGGAATATTTATTTTCCTTCGTTTATATATAATTTACATATTATTATTTATTTATCACAGACAGACCTTGATAATTCGAACCTCCAGGGGAGGACTGAAATCTCCGAGACAAATATCAATATTATTATTACTATTTTATTCTTAACTGATCGTAGTTCATTTGCATAAAATTACATATATAAAAGGAAAACAAGCTAATTATACGTAATATAACATAACATCCCGATGGGACGTGTTTATAAACGCTTTGTTCAGGAGGAATAGCTTTAATCAATGATCATCCGTAATTGTCTTTCGGAAGCTTATAAAGACCCAGAAAAAAATCTATGGGATTATAAAGAGTGTTGGGGACAGTAATAATACGATAAATTGGATCGATTTATCCAAGTATTAGTTAAGAATTAATTCATATTTTTGCAAGGAGACGAATGTTAAGCTACCATTATCATGCGACATTAGGAAGACTTTAATTTTGCTTTAATTCGTTAACAGGTTGTTGATCGATATATCACCCGTCGTGTTATATCTCGCTGTATCATTTCTCCCAATTGTACAAAGATAACAATGGAAAAGTTCGACTTGCTGAGGTCGGGCTGCGAATTCGAGTTGCAAAGCTAAAATAACATAAACGCGCACGAAACAATTCGAGTTAAAGGAAGTTCACATTTGCACTTGCAAAAGGTGAAAGGAATAAATGGAATTGTACTCTTGTGACTGGAATAATGGATGTCGGAAAATTCACGTATAAAATTTCAATTAATTTACCCTTCCTTCCGATTTTTATTCACGCTATAGATCGTTTTCGTCGTTTGACCCCCGTTGGCACTTTACCGGGGTGCACTTGAAACGAAAATCGTGTCATCCTTTTCTCACGCACTTTGATCGATACAGCCTTCGGTAATCCCAGGATTCCAGAAACCAATTAACCGTTCATCCACAGGTTTCGAACGCGTGAGAGAACGGTTTTGAATGAACGATCGCTCGATTACGATACCCTCGTGTCCTTCCTTTTTTTATCCTCGCGATCATGTCGATAAACATGCAATGGAACTCACCCTCGTGGCTACGTAAAACGGATTGACGTCAGGCAATTGCCGCGTATATATCGCGACGATCTATGAAACGGAGAATTTCGATTAAAATTATTTATTCGAATAACAGACTCATTTTCTGTTTTCCGCTAAAAATATCAAGAATTACGCAGGTAATCCGACGAAGGACTCGTTTCAATTTTCCTCTCGATATCGAAGATTTCCACGGAAATGAATAGAAATTTCAAGGAAAACTCTGGAAATAATGACTTTCCGTCAGTGTAAATATAGCACATCACCGTATGCTCCTACAGTCACCGATTTATATCCGACCATTTATCTTCGTACATATACCGGTTATACTCGAATTTGCATTTACGCGTTGCGTTTGCATGAAAGCAACAGAAATAGTCGAAATCTCCAATTATTTCGCGAAAAATCCGTTTTGCGCCGATTACGACTTGATAAACATTCGTCTCTTCCAACCCTTCTTTCACCCCTTGCAACCCTTTGCTTTCGCAACCGTTTCTGGTGCTGGAATCGAATTTCCTCGGTGGATGCTGCGAGTGCAGAGCAGGAGAGGGGTGGAATTTTCTAGCTTACACGTTCGATTTAATCTCCATGAGAGATACGCGTGCAATCGCGGCAAACAGCTCGAAATGTGGGAAAAATGCGATATATTGGATAACGTAGATACGGGAAAGAAAATATAATTGGCACGTGGAAATATCGGCGTTGCGATCGTCGAACAATGATACAGGAGTAGAAGAATGACGAGCAAAGACGTTGAAGTGCGATGAAGTCACGGCGGGGAATCCTTGTATCCTTCCCACTTCCTTTTTCCACCTTTCTGTCTAATAACGCGTGCTTTTTTTTAAGAAAATAAGCGTACGATACTCGGATCGAGAACGATCGAGAACCTTCGACGAAGACAACTCCGTCCTACAGCTTATCGTCTCTTCCGTAATTTATCAGCTTATCGAAATCGGGAAATCGCTGAACCTCCCTCAAGGAAATCTAAGAGTGTCCTTTGCTCGGCGAATGACTTTGAAAATCAAACACGCAGTAGGCGATTGGAAAATTCTGTCCTCGTTCATACCGATACCGATTGTCCTGTTCATTACGCAACCGATTTCCCCGTTAGGCACGTCGGGGAATTAGAGTTAAAACGAATTCAGGGAAGACGTCAGAGCTCCTTACACCTTTCACTCTCCTTCCAAACTCCGTTCCCCCCCGCGGTAATGTTCCTTTCGATTACTCCCCCCTTAGATCAAAGAGATCGAGAATTCGTGGACGTAGCAAAATTTCCTGGAATTAAACCTTAACGATCTACACGGTAACTCGATTAACACTGACGAATCGTCGTTGGTATTAGTCATTTCGACAGGTTTCGTGAAGAATTTCACGAGGAAAATTACTAAGATCGTTTACATTTTTCACCACCATTTGTACCGACTATTATTCGTTTATTCATTTTCCTCGTAGCTTTCTAATTTGCAAGTTCTCTGTATGGCATAACGGATATGCATAAAGGGGTACGAGTGGTGGCGGCCGGGGCACTGCAGGTCACCTGGCCTTGACCCTCGGTCACGCAACCCCTGTGCAAAGCGGAATTGAATTCAGCGTGAATCTCGGTTGGCGCGTGTCGAAAGGCATCGGAGCCACCGAAGGAAGCGGGTTGGCGAGTCGTTTGGTTAGGTATCGCAGCGATCGAGACGTAAATAGTCGAAGCCGCGGGGACTCGCGTGGTCGAAAGCGAGGCGTAACGGTGGGCACTCACAGCGCCACGCGATGCCACGCGACGCGAGTTTCAACCCCTTGGATCGATCGGCGATCGCGCGGCCTTGACACGATCGGCGTTGGGTGCAGGGTCGAGGACTCACGGGACGGTCGTTGCATTTTCAGTTGGAGAAGGAGGCTGTGGCCCGTAGCTGGAGAGAGAGTGGAGTAGAGAAGCGTGCAAGAGTGGAATCGACGAAGCTCCCGTTCGCAGGAAGGAGTAAGCTCGAAGGAAGGGAGAGGAGGAGGAGGTCAGCCGTTTATTGAACGAAGCGTACGTGCGAGCGAGAGAGCGCGCGACACGCGAGCCGAGGAGAAGCGAGAGAGACAGTCGGCGGGAGAGATAGAGATGGAGAGAGAAATGGCCCCCACCCACGGCCACGAGGAAATAGAGGGGCGCTATAAAGAGTATGCCTATAGCCCTGTACCAGCGAGTTCCACTTCAGCGCTGTACGATTCAACCGCCCTTGGAAAATATCCTGAGACTGGTGCCGGTTCACCTAAATATCGTATCAACGGTGTCCAGAAGTGTCGTGTTGCAGAAATGACGGAGAAGGGTTCGACGATACTTCAATACGCCGCCGCGGCTGCGGGTAAGTTGCAACCCCTTTCACTAAATTAACCGGTCGACGGGTCTACAGGGGGGTTTTAGCTTCGCGAGAGGCTCGGGACTCGATCTCATCCGCGGCGAGTTTTCGTGAGAACGGGACCGGGTGCCGGGCCACCTTCGCTTGGCACGGGCTTGCGTTTTCGCGCGCAGCCACGCGACGTTGCGCGCGGTTGGGGTCGTTGAATCGTATCGTGAAAATTGATCGCTGGGATGCAACTCTCGGAATATCAATATTTATTTTTTCTTTTTAATTCCCCAGGGGAATTAAAAGTTCGGGTGTCGATATGCAGTCGTGTACACGCTGTGGCAGAATTGGGAAATTTTTCACCGGTACAGGTGTTAGTAATCGCCTGGGCGGGATCGAGGTACAGGAGCGTGTAACGCCGCGGTGAAAAGGGGTACGTTGGACGGGGAAGTTTGGCGAAGTTAGTGGCAGTTTGGAAATTGAAATTTCGAGTTCGATGAATTATGACCCCGTCGAGATCCACTTTGGGATTTGCGGATTCGCGCGGGATTAAGATAGATTTATTTTATAAGCCGTACTCGTATATACTCGTAGGTTTTAATAGATATTGGGGATGACTATTGATCTCGTAATGAAAATATTTATACGAAATGCAAGTATATATTTATCTAGTAAGTGCGAAATTGCCTAGAGGAAATTTACCGAACTATCGTGATTAATTAATCCTGCGAACATCGATGATATCGCGATGATGCTCGTTTGTGCGATACGGATTAGATAAATACTTCGACTTGCCACATGCAACGGTAAGCTGTAGAAAATAAATTATATAATACTTTCCACGCGATTCGCACGGAACTGAGCGAAATTACACTGATCGGTTTCCACCAGATTTTCCAACCGATTCTCTATCGATCCAAGGATCTTTCAAGGTTACGGTTCGTCATATTTCGTCGAATGGAAAAAAAAGAATGTTATTATCAACGCGAGATTGTCCGTTGGATTAACATCGTAATGACATAACTACAATCGCGTTTCTCCGTGATAAGGCAAGAACGGCTTTTCGAATAGAATTACCGTGATTTTCAGCGAGGTCGTATAGTCAAACGTAGGATGAAAGATGATATTAATTTAAGAAATTGGGATAACGAAACTGGATAATAACACGCTACTTCTTATTACCTCTTCCTTCGGGCAATACAAGTTCAAACAAATTGTACCGTAATTAATTTATTACCCCGTGATAACCACGTGTGTCGTGACACGGGACGATTCCCCGTGGCAGGAGACAAAAATCGAAACATTTTTACAATCGGCGTAATTTTACCGAAAAATTTGCGTACGGTCGACTATAAGTAAACGAAACGGTTTTTCGATCCCCGATCCCCGATGCGAACGTATATCGAAAAATAAATCGACATTGGTAGTGGACAAATTGCAGTTATCGCGATTAAACAGGCGAGTTTCTGACATAATTGCTGACGTTCGATGATAACAACGCATCAAGTATACCGAATCGTTCATATCGGCGGACAAACAAAAATTGTCGACGTGCGCATGCGCGATAAACATGGAGGCGATGTAAACAAGACGATCGCGCGGTCTTTCTCGTCGCGTGGGTTCTAAAATCGATTTGGCTCGAAACGCGCGGACTCGAACGTCCTGGCATCGAGAGATTCGATTAGAATGTACGCGAGGTTACAATGGAGACACATGCGTCTATATTCCGCATCGCGTGTCCTTTCGAGGGGTTTACAGCTATTTGGAGGTAATTAAGATAACGTAGAGTTAAGTGGATCGCGAGTAATAGGTGTTAGTATGACTTACGATGGATTAGGATGCTTCTACTTCTGAATTGTCGGTGGATCTTGATGGCTCGTGGGGATGTAGAATAAGGGATTATGGATGCTCGAAATTGGTCCATCCTCGTTGATATGAATTTTTTCTTTTTTTTTCCGTCCGTTGAAAATGAACGATTGCACTGTGTGTATTCCGTGTAAAATTGCACCGTAGAATGGTATTTGAATTTAACAGTCATATATAGCACAAATTACGAATAAACAGAACCGTATGAGTCATCAATCTTGGGCGTCGATCATCGCAGACTTGGTTCGATGCCATTGACCAATTAATCCGGCGCGCATTATTAACGAGAATTACACAATAACAATTTGCAATCGAATCGAGAGCGATAAGGCTGTGACTCTACAACTGTCGACACTCGACGCCCTCTTATATGTCTAAACCATTACGGATCACACGCGATCGAAAATTTACGAGATGTATATACGAATGGGTACAGCATCGTGCGGAGAGTTTATTAATAATCCGAAACGTTTATCGAAAGTATACTGACACGAGCGAAGTCGTCCATTTCGTCGAGCTATTTCCGGTAACCTCGTGTCACGAGTATCGATTCCGAATGTCTCCTCTAATTAACCTGTGTATTAACTCGCGAAGCTTTATCACAAACGAACCTGGCCCTTTGTTTCATGATCCGTTCCTATGTTTCTCCACGCTTTGTCCCCCTGTCGAGAACGTAATCGTGCGTGTAGGAGGATAGAGGTTCTCTTGAAATTGCATCGTTCGTGGTGTCACTCGTGTAAATATGGGTTCCCAATCGACTACCGTTGATAGGGAGACACAGCGCCACCAATGGACCGCGGTTCGGTCGGGAATCGAACGAAATCGGGAATGGCCGCAACGATTGTCGAAGCGAACGAGATTTTGCTGCACGAAACGATAAATTACACTGCAGCCACGTTTCGTGTCGCGAATAAGATAACGTTGCGCGTGACCGAACGGTGACACCTGTATTTTTCATGCATCAAACCGACAGGGACACCTGTACGACGAATTTTTCGCGTTCCTGTAAATTCACCGTGCTCGTATCCCGGCGGCCGGTCCAATTTAACGGAACGTCTGTCTGCGTCGCGAACCAATCGTTTTCGATCTCGAGATCGAATATTTCACCGTGACGATGTCGTATCCTTTTCGCGTTTTCGAATACGAAACGGTAGCTCGAAGCAGCCTGCCTTTTCTTCACACACTTCCTACACTTTCTTTCTTACTCGCATATCACGTCGAACAATGCCATCCACCCACACTCTCCCAAACAATGGTCTCGTGCACATGGTTCAGAGTCCAACAGCCACTCGAGAGCGGAGCACCGTCGGTACATTGGCGAAGACTAATTATTGGCTTCCCGTAATCTAAGCTATCCACCTCGACCATCCACAGAGGATTAATTTTCTTTCTTGCTTCACACTTCCATTTTTCCTTTCGCCGATATCCCAACGAATACCGTTCTAAATATAGTCGAATCTAACCTCTGCGAACTTGTTTCTCTCTGTCCACGCGACCCGACGAAGTTATTCGGTGACGATCACGAACGAGAAAAATAGAGATAAAGAAAGGTGAACCTTGAATAGCGGCGAACGAGAAGAGTGAAAATCGGCACGCCGTCACCGAAAATAACACGGTTTATCTTTAACACGACACATCGGTGACAGGTTTCGTTACGATCGAATTGCGTCGCGCGACTAAACGAGGGGAACGGAGGAAATGAAACGGGGATGGAGGGGGAAGCGTTAAGACGACGTCGATGCGGAAACGGAACAAAGTAGGAATCGGAATCGTACGTCAATTCGTGAAATATGCCCATGTGGTACGAGGTACCTCGTGTTTCGAATCGACCCGTTTCGCTCTGCGATCTGTCTCGAATATTTGCGACGATCAAAGAACGCAGAGGCCTCTGTGAGTCTCCGAAAAGAGACCGGTTAACGCTATGGACGAAATGCTATCTCGAAAGGCGGGAACCTGCATCGAGGTACTCCGTGTACAAACAGAGGAACGATCGAAATGGACTTTGTTCGTGAAATGCGATTCACGTGACAAAGGGAAGTAGTTGCAGGAATTTTCTGAACGCTTCGAATCGATTTTCTTCTCCGAGTTTTATCTCGAAAGAAATTACGTTAACGCGTTTCACGATGGGAATATAGCTAAGGGGATAAATTTTAAAAGGTTTAAGATCAAAGTTACGTCGTTAAACTTTTTCTCAGTAGACTGGTGGTAATAAGAGTATAAAACTCGAGAATTCCTTTTACGTTTTTAAATATCGTACATCTTTTTTTCGCCCGAAGAGGTTACGTACGTAGAAATTTTGCTAGAGTTAGTGTAAATGGCGTATGTCGAAAGGGAGGCTTACCTTGAAAGAAGCGTGCCAATGAAATTCATCGTTCCAATTTCTTTCGCTAAATTCCTTTGACGCAGTCGTCTACTCGAGTCGAAAAACTAACTCCGAGAGAAAACAGACCGCTTAAAATTCCCTTTCTCGAACTTATTTCTTGGATCAACAGTTTTCACGCTTTTTTACCCATTGACCCAGGGCTGTTGGAATTACCGCGAGTTATCGCGTTACTTGGAGGAGTTTCGTTTATTCGAATTCCATTTGCGAGTATTTCAGAATGAAGCTTCCGTTTGACGCTGAAAAGCAATTGGAAAGTGAACTGTTTGAAACGAATTGGATTTCCTCGGGATGTAAAATCGAGGAAAAGGAAATTCTGCGAAGAAACGTATGAGGGAGGGAATTGTTTAGAGTTGCACGTATCAAATGACTAAATTGCCTTGTTGTTGTGACTAATAAGGATGTAATAGATGATCTGACGATCTATACAGACCCAGATTCAATTTGGTAGATACCGGATGCACGTTATTTAATATTCGCCACGTTCGACGACACTGATCTCTCCTCGCGATTATGGCTCTCACGTATTACAGTGTCCTCCACTGCCTCCATCAGGCTTCTTGTCATCGATCCATCGATACGCGATCCTTAAACGCTTCTGCTCCCAGGCAGAAATTTGCATACGAGGGCCAAACTTACAACGATATCTCGAATATTTCTATATTAAAAAAATCCCCGATAAATTCCCCTAGAATCCTAGATTATCCCTTGGAATGCCAGCGGGAACTTTTCGAGTAAAAGTGGATTTAAATGTGACAAACGAGCGTTTTTT